TATTACAAACTTATATTAAATAAGTGTTGTACTGGGAAAGGAATTGACATTTATCAATAAACAGAACAGAGAGCCCCAAACAGTTTCATGCTTATGGAAACTTGGTATGTAATGAAATGGGAAAATATGGATTTAATAGATGGTGTTAAAAAAACTTGCAATTCTACTCTGCATACCCGGCAGACATTCACACTCACAAGACCCAAAAGGCACCAAGGTCACTTAGCTTGCCAGAAAGGTATAGCACTGTAAACACAGCATATAGAGGAGAGCATCCACCTTAGGTAAGCCTCACATGCCACAGGAACCACTACGGTGTAAAAATCCCTAAAGGTGGGTTCCACATCTCCCCAAGGAGGAACAAGCTTGGTTATCAGTTGTACCTTACTCAGAGAAATCTCAAAGCCTGTGCTTTTTACAATAAAAAAATGTTGCTGGGTAAACAGCTGGCGTTCCTTATTTATCTTAACCCACTGTTTCAAGGAAATAGTGCTAAGGAAAAAGTAAATCCATGATAATTTTCCTCTAGAGAGAGAGAGAAGTGGTTTTGTTAATAACACTTTTCCCTTAATGATCAGCTGGAGAAAAAGTTGGATTCATACCTTATACTATATCCAAAAATAAACTCCAATTATATTAAATGTAAATGGTAGAACTATAACACCGATAGAACAAGACCTAAAAAATACAAACAACTGGGGGCAAAATTTAAAATTTCTATTCCATAAAGGACACCAAAGACAAGAATTAATAAATGAAAAGCCTAAGTTATTTCCAACATCTGAACCTGACAAGGAAACATTATTTAGACTATATAAAGAATTTCTTGTACTATAATCAGCAAGAAAGAGAAAAGTCTGATAGAAAAATGGGCAAATTATAAGTATAGGCAATCCATAGCCTGGAAAACCAGAATGACTAAAAAGCATATGCTTAGACTTATTAGTAATCAGATAATGCAGATTAAACAAAATACAATTTCATACATTATCAGATTAACAATCAGAAAATATCAAGTACTGCTGAAGATGTAGAGAAAATGAAATCATCATGTCTTGCTGGTGTAAGTGCAAATTGGTACAACCATTTCCAAGAACAATCCAGCATTACTAACTGAAATTAAATATGCATATACTCAAAACCCCAGCCATTCTACTCTAGGCCATATATACCAAAGAAACTACAGGGCAGGGTCATAGGAAGAAATGTACAAGTTTGTAGAAGTGGGAACAGCTGGAAATAACCTAAATATCTATGACTAGAGGAAAAGATAATCTATGGTATGTGAATACAATAGAATAATATGCAGCAGTCAGAAGTATGCTATATACAGTAACATGAATAGTTCTTAAAAACCTAATATTTTATAAAAGTTAGAAGCAAAATGAAATTTATACCATAATATCATTTATATAAAATTTAAAAGTGATACAAAATAAATGTTATTATATAGTTTTTCAAAGAAATATATCAAAAATTTGGAAGATGGCTTGGAAGAATAAACATTAAATATAGTAGAGAGTGGGGAGTATGGAATTGCAGGTAGGAGATGAAGAAAAACTATTAAGGTAAAATGAAGCAGAACAAAAGTTTACGTTTTCTAGACCAATGATACTGCTGTCATTAATAAAGAGTATAATTAATGATTGAGTCAATGCTGAGCACATGAAATCCTTAAAAAAAGAAACGATTTATATGAGGAGAGAAACACAGTTAAGTTAGACTAAAACATTTCTTCATTAAATGTGAAAAACTATCCATAGGGCATAATATATAGTTAAGTACCCCATAGGATTTGTGAGTTAGCTGTCTTTAAAAGAAACAGTTCATTCTCCCAAATAAGATAAGCTAAATAAAAACAACATACAATATGAAAGGACACTTAAAGGCAATGCTTAAAAAACAAAATTTCTTTGTGTTGAACAAATATTCCACTGCATTTTTCTAGGCTGTTCTGGTATTCAGCAAAATAATTTAAAATTACATTTTGGGCAAAGTTATCAGTACAAGTGAACTAATTTTAATTTTTAATTATGTGTGAATCTGAAATTTTACATTGATATAAATACCTTGTGACATTTTAACAGGATGTAAGAAGTTTAAATATACATGGAAAAAATTACAAATAAGTAGTTGTCGTAATCTCTTACTTTTGACTGTGCTTCATATTTTAAAAAAAGCACTCTCATGTGAGGCAGATGTAGTAGCTATCTCCAATGTTATCAATGAGGAAACTGAAAAATAATCTTACAGTAAGTAAGTAGTGGTGTCCAGACTAGAATCTAGGTCTCCCAAAACCTAGATTTCAGGCCTAATTTTTATTTAACTCACCTTCTAGATAATTTTTATATAAATGTAAATTTAATATTTTCTTTAAATCACAAGGAAATAGAGCAGACACATTGGTTTGCAGTAGTTAATATACACAATGATATGAAGAAAAATGCAGAGACTTTTACATTAATTGCAATCCTGAAAAGAGTTAAGTTTGTCTTCAAAAAATGTCAATCAAGTTTAATATATTTTTATTTGTCCAGTAAAAGTAACTTAACAATCTATTAATAAAATTTTAACTGCATTTAATATCATTCTTTTTTCTATTAAAGAAAGCACAAGATAAAGGACAGCAGTATTCAAGTAAATATATAATTATGACACACTGATAGACTAAATCAAGTACCTAAATGAAATGTTAAAACATGAAAATTTATAGTCCTCTTACATTTTCCTTTCTACACTGATAAACTACAATCAGAAAAAAATTTTAAATGAAACCTGTTTTCTTGTTGTAACTTGTGATTTATTATTTTATTTAATTGAAAGTGTTTTAGTTTCAGTTAGTAATTTCTGTAAAGTAGCAGTCCTAAAAATAACAATATTGGAGCCTTAAACATTACATTTAGTCATCTAAAAAAGGTTACAAAATTTCTCTGCTTATTCTAGTCCTAAATTCCTTTTCTAGATTCTTAATAGAAAAGGAATTTTCAGACACTAATAGTTACCAGTCAGATAATATACATTGCAATTTAGCATTCTTAACCAAAAACAAACAAACAAAACAAAACCAAAAACACCCTAAGAAAAGTCAATTTTTTTCTTTTTTTGGTCATGCCATGCAGGCATGTGGGATCTTAGTTCCCCGACCACCAGGGATGGAACCCACGCCCCCTGCATTGGAAGCTCGGAGTCTTAACCACTGGACCACCAGGGATGTCCCTGGTCAAATTATTTTTGTTATTCATTCTGTACTATACTCTTCTCCCTATACATCTTTAATAGCAATCACAAGTACTATCTTAAAGACCCACGTTTTCTAATCTAAATAGTGCCGACTCAACATTTCACCTCTACTTCACCTCTAGTATTCAATTTAGATGTCTCAAAGCCAAATTTAATAATTTATCAAAAATTGTTTCAATAACAAAATTTCCATAAATTACTTTCTAACAAACAAAGCAGAACCTCTAATTGTAGAACACAAATGGAAAATAATATATAAGTAACTTAATCCCCTTAACTTGAAGGTTTGAAGAACCAGGTGTTAGAAAAATATGCCTAAGATAAACAGATTTTACTATCTTATTACTTTTTCTGCACAGGATCAACATTTGTATTTTAAATGATATATTACTTATTATATTGTCTCAAAAGAGAGATTCCCAAGAAGACTTTAGTAAAATTCTATGTTGATTATACACATACTTGGTTCCTAATGTTTTAGTTTGAACTGTTCTAGAATTACTTGTTGAACATAAAGTCTGTAAGAAGAAAGATAAAAATACGAAATCAAAATCTTTATCAAATAATTCCAAGTTTTCAACAATATATGTAAATATATTCTTGTACCCTGTATTTCTGATAGTATTATTTTTGTAGTATGATCACAGCAAGTACATGAATTTTCCAGTTTTGTGGGGAAATATTCAGTGTTCTGAAATTTAACTAGATTTAAAATCATTATTAAACAAAAAACAAATCAAATAGCACTATCATATTCTAAATGGCAATTCAGCATCGTATGTATAGTCTCAGTTGTAAAAACCACACCTAAAAGAAATGTGTACCCAATGTGACACACTCTCAATGTTTAAAGAACAGCCTGAATATGGAATTTTAAAAAGTTAATTATATTAGGTAGAAGCAGAGAATCTATGAAAAGATTTAAAATCGTTGCTGCCGGAACTGAGTTGGAAACTCAAAGGACTTGAGTCTTGGCTGGAGGAAAACAAAGTAAATCTTTCATATGTGTATTCTGATTCACCCAGGATGAAAACTAATCATACTGTAAAGGGATATGATCCTCTGAAGAAATGGAAATAATCTGTAAGAAAGATAAATTATAGCCTCTTTATTAGCAGGGAAAACTAAATTAGGGCTATATGTCACCCTGGAACCATTTCTTTCACAATGCTTCTAGTGACTTTTCCAAGATAAATTTTTAAAAAATACAATAAAAGATAAAAGTATCAATTGTCGGTGGGTGGAAACATATTACTACTGCCTAAAAAACCCAATACTGGATGTAATACACATCAGAAAATTTTTATTATTCTGTTTAATTAAAGTTGTAGAAAAATTAGCCTTTTCGCCTGTTCTGATATTTATATGTTGTCACTTAACTTCTGAGGATTCCAAGTCAATTAATCTAGAATTTTAAAATGCATTAGTGATCCCTACTGTAGCAAACTGTGTATTCTATAGTTCATGAATCGTATTCTTTCAATAAACACAGGGTTTTAAATAAGATGATAATGGTAGTCTCCATAATCTTAAAATCTAGGTAAAACAAATATCCTCATGGTCCAATAACAACTCGTAAAATGTAACCAGGTCACTAGACCAACATACTAGTGTACAACTTTAATAATTTCTAGCAACAAAACATCTGGAATAGCCATTAACAAATGCTTTCATTGGATTGAAGATGAATTTCTTTGTAAGAAGAAACTTTTTAAAAGTACTCTGAAGTATAGTTCAGCTGCAGGTAAACATGAAAGTTATCAAAGATCTTGTTTATCTCCATTTTTCCCAGTGGAATCAAGTGCAACTGGAACCTTATTAGTTTCAACAAAAACAGATTCAAAGGCAGCTTCCTGTTCATCCAAAGAATCAGCAGCTGTTGCTCCTTTAATTAGTGTTGTGTTGGTAAAAGAATGTTGCTGCTTGGAAATTTTACTGGATTCCACTGTTTTTCTACCTCTTCTTTTACCAAGAATTTTGACATAATTAGCAGGTATAAGTCCTGTTGTTTGACCATCAAGACTGGCCAGAAGCCAACCACGCACTCTGGGTTGCTGTTCTGATGGAAGAAAAGACAGCCTTGTAATTATCACATACTTTGAGGGTCCAACAGAATATTGATAATAAAATGTTAAGTAAAATCTCTGTTACACTTATATAATACAGTACATAAACAAATAGTGTACATGAATATTCAAAAAATCAAGATGAGTAGGTTTAAGTCTAGGATCCCTTCTTATAACTTACACTTTTAATTTTATATTTACTAAATATTTTTTCAGCCTTGAAGAACATGAAGTTTACATCAGTTGGTGCATTCATAGAGTAAAACGATTCAGTTCTATCAAAAGATGAAAATTAACATCAATGTCTTTCATATTTTAAATTGAAATTTAAGGAATGAATATCTCATTACTTCTCAATAGGATAAGTTAGGGGTAAGTATAGAAAATAAATATATACATTTACATAAGGCAGCTTTCTTTATATATTTTTAGCTGAAATATAAAATTCATTCTATATGATTGTGATGTATAATCCTGAAGGACAGTGAATGTTAATTTTAATCCAAGGTGGGCAAAAATTGAAGACCTCAGTTAACTATAGCCACATAAGAAAAAGTTAAAGGCCATACTCTAAGCTTAAAGTAGGAAAGATTATTTAAATACTCAGTTTTGTATTTTGATATTCTCCCACCTATTTTATCCATATCTTTAAAAACCTGTTTAACTGTTAAGTTTTAGTTCAACACTATAATTTAGGCACAATATGACATTTTCATGTTTAATACTACTCTATAATAATAATAAAAAAAAAGTTAAATTAACCATGTCTGTGACTGATTTTGTTCTAAATGCCCACACATATTTTACTTGAGCAATGGAGGAAGGCAACGAAGCAAAGCCAAAGTGTTAAAAGGCACTATTAGTTGAAGAATAATCTGATATAAAATTTTTCTGGAATATTATAATTTAGTTGAAAGAAACCACATTTGATCTTTATTCTTTAATTAGATTTATTAAAACTAATTATCTGTATTTTCCTCTAACAATAAATCTTAAAAAGAAATAATTCTTTTGAAATCTAAAATAGTAAGTTACTATTTTCACTAGAAGAGAAACATGAATATAATACCTAAAAGCCAGGATTTTTGAAAAGTTACATTTTATTTTATTATTTAAAAAATTTTCTTGGAAGCCTAGATTTTGTGTGTGAAGAGATAAGGCAGAGATTTAGCAAATTCGAACCAAATTTTTCAATTATTTACACATTAAACTAATAATTTGAACATTGAAGGTATTTTTCCCTTATGTAAAGAGTGACTAACACCATTAAAAGGCTAAAGTTTCCATTAATAGATCACATGGAAATCAGCCAAAGTGGTTAAAAATACAGGTTCTGAAGTCACATAAACCTAGGTTCATAGTCCAGCTCCAACACACAGGACAATTTACTTATTCTGAATCTCGCTTTCCTCATGTGTAAAGCAGGAACAGGATAATAACAGTACTCACTTTACAGCATTATTATAAGGTGTAAATGAAATATGTAAAGTACGGTGCCTAGTACATTTTTTTTTTTCTTTTTTTTTGGCCGCCCCATGGCTTGCGGGATCTTAATTCCCCAACCAGGGATTGAACCTGGGCCCTTGGCAGTGAGAGCGTGGAGTCCTAACCACTGGACCACCAGGGAATTCTCCCTAGTACATAATAAGCAGTCTATAAATGACAGCTGTTATTATTGTTACTAGTATCTTTACCAACAAAATGTGACTTTTCGTAGCAGACCTGAATCCCCACAAATACACAAAAAATCTTTTTTTTGTAAATCCACAAAAATTCTGATCATTACTGGGGAAAGGTGGAGGAAAAGGCCATTTTGTCTGGAGCCATTAAAAACTATTAGTGACCTCGTCTGAAAATTAACCTGAATGCCTATAAATTTCTTGCTGAGGTTCTTTAATACGTCATGACAGTAATTCCTAAATATTCATGTTGAAGTTTCTAAAGTAAACATTATTCAAGTAAAAAAGAAAGCAATACTAGTCCCAGCAATAAAAGACCAATAGGGATGCTTAGATGATGCTAGACAATTACTTTGGTTTATTAGATTTGTTACACTTAGCGCTTACCTCATGTTTTGGGGTGGTGATTAAAAGTGTTTTGAGTTTAGAAGAGATTATATAAACAAGATCTTTCCTTATCTCAGTGAAATATTATTGGAACAACTTTGTTGGGACATTTTTCTCCCACTCCCCCAGATTTAGAAGGTCTACATTGACAAAGAGAAATCCTAGTAACTACTTATGAGTTAACTAACGGTGACCAAGATCCTTTAATGCAGTTTTTAATATTACATTTACAAATTCTAAAAATGCACAGATAATTCCAATTTATTCATGTTTTGTTACCTTTGAGAGCTAAGTTTAGCATATCACCAGCACGGAAAGAAATTTCTTCTTCGGATACAGCAACAAAATCATATTCTGCTCTAGCAACTACATGGTCATCCTCACCACTTGCCCAGTTGGTATTGTCTATAAACCAAATTAAGAATTAAGATTAGGTTAGTAAAACTTAAAAAAAAAAGATATTTCAGTGGCTATGTTTTGCAAACTGTATAAACTTATTTGCCAAGAGAAAATTCCCCCCAAAGTAAATTCCACAATTAACACTACGTAAAATCAACAATATGTTCATTATGATACCCATTATAAACTTTTTCCTGTTCTTTAAGCTCCAAATTCTAGTTCCTTTACTTTAAGCCAGGGGTCAGCAATTTTTTTTGTAGAGTAAAAAGATTTTTGATAGTAAATATTTTAGGCTTTGTAGGCCATGAGGCAAAATTGAACACATTGTGTAGTTTCTTATATAAAGAGAGAAAAAAGTCTTCCATAAATTTTATGAAAAATTCAAAATATAACAATTGAATTCTTTTTTTGTAATATAGGTCTACTACAAAGAACGGAATCTTTTTGGGATAGGATAATATTTCACTTAATTTGGGGTTCAAAGGTAGTGTTTTCTATCATCAATATCAATTGCAAATATTCATCTGTTAATGCTAATTTGTAATGAGATTTGAGGTATTTCATTTTGAAAATGTTTTTTCACATAGATATGTATTGCCAAATTCTGATATCAATACATTGAACATGTGGTTTTAATTAAGCATATTCATCCTAAGAAGATGAATAGAGTAGAATTCTGTTAAATTCCTTCAATATTAACCTTTTAACGTGTCCTTACATGAGATACTAATCACTTCCAAATGAAGACTAAATGGAAACTCCTCAACGGCAGTTAAATGGCTTTTGAAATATGGACATTTCCTTCGCACTTGCATGGAGGTCCAAAAACACTTCTGAATTGTAGTTTGAGCTTGAAAAGTCTATCTGCTGCAAATTTATGTGGGAAGGGAAATCTTGTTTCTTTAACTTTTGACAACCTGGGTGGGGGGTGTATAAAGCAGTGTGACATTACTTGTGATTCAAACAATATTAGTTGTTGTCAAAATAACTTCACTCCAATGTAAGTTTCAAAATATAATTGCTATTCTGCCTTATAGTTTTAGGTTGAATTCATTAAGAAGATTACCAAATCTGCAGCAAAAGCTGATTTCCAAAGCCATTAAACATTTTCTAAGAGTGGCTTGATGGTGGTTCTTGTTTTTCAGAAAAATATCAGTCTTGGCCTTGATCCCTCAAAAAGAGTAATAAAACTTAACCACTGACTGCTCAGCCATCTAACTGCTGTGTGGTAGGGCAAGTCAGGATCTTCAGCTTCTACTTCTGACAAAAATTCACAGAACTGACAATAGTTATGTCCACAAGGGTGACTGAAGTTCACCTTTGACATTACTAATTCAGTAAAACATGACAAATTCAAATATTTTCTGCAATGTACCTGCTGATGAAGAATACAATGAATAATTATAGGCTTTAAAAAACTTATATTTTCAAAACTCTGTAAATTTTGTCCAACTAAGCCTTTTTCTGTTCCACACAAAGTTTTACCACCATCAGTCACAACATATCTTTGCAGATTAGTGTTTTTTCCAAATTCTTTGAAGATATTCTTGTCTGTAGTTGTTCCATGCATACTATTCACAGAGGCTACATCTTCAGCCACTTCAAATTCAACACTGACTCTTCCAATAAACCACTGAGCAGTAACAATATCTACTGGGTCATCATGAGCCAAGTAAATCCATTTGAACTCATCTGCCTTGTTTTAAAATGACTATTAAAATGATGTTTCAAATATTCTTTAAGAAACTCGTCTCCCTGAAAGGTTAACAGTCTTCAACAAGTTTACTTTCTCTGACACATTTCCTTGGCTGTTGTAATAACCACTGGTAAACAGATTTCCTTGCTAATTTGACAAATGAGCCCCTCAGAAACTTATTTTGGTTGCAGGCTTATTTTTTCTTCTTTTGCTTATTTATTTGTTTATGGCTGCGTTGAGTCTTCGTTGCTGAGTGCGTGCTTTCTCTAGTTGTGGTGAGCAGGGGCTGCTCTTTGTTGCAGTGCACAGGCTTCTCAATGCGGTGGCTGCTCTTGTGGAGCACAGGCTCTGGGCGCACGGGCTTCAGTAGTTGTGGCACACGGGCTCAGTCGCTGTGGCTCGCAGGCTCTAGAGCGCAGGCTCAGTAGTTGGGGCACACGGGCTTAGTTGCTCTGTGGCACGTGGGATCTTCACGGACCAGGGCTTGAACCCATGTCCCCTGCATTGGCAGGCGGATTCTTAACCACTGTGCCACCAGGGAAGCCCCTTCTTTTGCTCCTTCCCCTGACCCCTTTTGGGTGAGGAAATTCTGCTATGATGAGCTATCCCATTTTAAATTTTCTAATTTTTATGCCTGTTGACTTCCTGTGAGTTGGGAATATTGTGATGGGTGCTCAGTCTGGTAATGTTGATGTACTGGGTTGGCCAAAGAGTTTGTTTTTTTCTGTAAGATGGCTCTAGTAGTGCTTAGTTGTCTTTAACTTCATTTGAAACAATTTTGTTAGACTGTTTTGTGACAGCTGTTATATTAGCAAAAAAAAAAACCATCAAAATTGGTGAATTTTTGTGTAGCCATTTTAATATTGAGGATGGAAGGAAAAAAGCAACGTTTTCGGCATATTATGCTTTACTATTTCAAGAAAGGTAAAAACACAACTGAAGTGCAAAAAAAGATTTGTGCAGTGTATGGAGAAGGTGCTGTGACTGATCGAATGTGTCAAAAGTGGTTTGCGAAGTTTCGTGCTGGAGATTTCTCGCTGGATGATGCTCCACGGTCGGGTAGACCAGTTGAAGTTGATACCCATCAAATTGAGACATTAATTGAGAACAATCAATGTTACACCATGCGGGAGATAGCTGACATACTCAAAATACCCAAATGTTGAAAATCATTTGCACCAGCTTGGTTATGTTAATGGCTTTGATGTTTGGGTTCCACGTAACTTAAGAGAAAAAAATCTTCTTGACCATATTTCCACATATGATTCTCTACTTAAACGTAATGAAAATGTTCCGTTTTTAAAACAAATTATGATGGGCAATGAAAAGTGGATACTGTACAATAATGTGGAATGGAAGAGACTGTGGGGCATGTGAAATAAACCACCACCAACCACACCAAAGGCCAGTCTTCATCCAAAGAAGGTGATGTTGGGACCTCTCTGGTGGCGCGGTGGTTAAGACTCCACACTCCCAATGCAGAGGGCCTGGGTTTGATCTCTGGTCAGGGAACTAGATCCCACATGCATGCCACAACTAAGAGTTCACATGCCACAACTAAGAACCCCATGTACTGCAACAAAGGGGTGGATGAGCCGCAACTAAGGAGCCCGTGAGCTGCAACTAAGAGCTGGTGCAACCAAATAAAAATAAATAAATAAATATTAAAAAAAGAAAAAAAAAACCAAAGAAAGTGATGTTGTGCATAAGGTGGGCTTGGAAGGGAGTCCTCTATTATGAGCTCCTTGCAGAAAACCAAACGATTAATTCCAACAAGTACTGCTCCCAATTAGACCAACTGAAAGCAGCACTCTACGAAAATCGTCCGGAATTAGTCAACAGAAAACACATAATCATCCATCAGGATAACCCAAGACCACATGTTTCTTTGATGGCCAGGCAAAATCTGTTAGAGCTTGGCTGGGAAGTTCTGATTTATCCATGGTATTCACCAGACATGGCACCTTCATTCAGATTTCCATTTATTTCAGTCTTTACAAAATTCTCTTAATGGAAAAAGTTTCAATTCCCTGGCAGACTGTAAAAGGCACCTGGAACAGTTCTTTGCTCAAAAAGATAAAAAATTTTGGCAAGATGGAATTATGAAGTTGCCTGAAAAATAGCAGAAGGTAGTGGAACAAAATGATGAATATGTTGTTCAATAAAGTTCTTGGTGAAAATGAAAAATGTGTCTTTTATTTTTACTTAAAAACCAAAGGAGGACTTCCCTGGTGGCGCAATGGTTGAGAATCCGCCTGCCAATGCAGGGGACACAGGCTCAAGCCCTGGTCCGGGAAGATCCCACATGCCGCGGAGCAACTAAGCCCATGTGCCACAACTACTGAGCCTGCGCTCTAGAGCCCACAAGCCACAACTACTGAGCCTGTGTGCCACAACTAGTGAAGCCCATGTGCCTAGAGCCTGTGCTCCTCAGTGAGAAGCTACCGCAGTGAGAAACACGTGCACCACAACAAAGAGTAACCTCCGCTCACCGCAACTAGAGAAAGCCTGCACGCAGCAACAAAGACCCAATGCGGCCAAAATAAATAAATAAAATTTAAAAAAACACAACAAAAACCAAAGGAACTTTTTGGCCAACGCAATATATTGTAATCCTTTAACATAGCTATGCTGTCACTGCATAATAAATGTAATAATGGTTTACCACCTAATTCAGTAACAAAATAATCCAGACTATACTGTGCCTTAAAAGTGTGACCTTCAAAGTCCACTTCACTCTTCTTTTCTTGTGTGGCATGTATGTACTCATAATAAAAATATATATTGCAGTATAACAATACATGTGGCACTCAACACATTGCCAAGTTATGTTACTGAGATCTGCAGTGTGCAGAACAATTGCAAAGCAATGAGAGTGCCAACATAGATAGGATCTCTATGTTACAAACTACTCAACTCTGGTCTTTCAGTAGAAAAGTAGCCATAACAATACATACATGAATGAATGTGGCTGTGTTCTCATAAAACTTTACTAATGGACACAGATATTTGAATTACATATAATTTTAACATGTCACAAATAGTACTCTTTTGGATTTTACTGTAGAAACCATTCTTAGTTTGTGGGCTGTACAAAGACAGGAGCAAGGCAGATCTTGCTGACAGGTTATCATTTGCTGACCCCTGTCCTAAGCAGCTAAGAAGTCATAGGGCCTAAGCTTCCTCAGTTCCGCTTTTCCTCAAAAATCTCTTAGTATCGTTACCCATTCCTCCCTCTTTGGCCTCAGATAAAAAAATCACCCCTCCTTTTCACCTGCCTTGGATCGTATCGTCTCCCACCTCTTACAGG